AATACAATGACGTAAGAACCAGATAACAAATACGGCTAACCTGACGTTTACTCCTCATTTGACTCCGAAGATGATTACCGCAAAGGTTGTCGAAACGTCAATCAACAACAACAAAAACAGTCTTTCTCAGGACTATACCAACCTGGACGACCTACATTTACAAACATGTAATGATACTCCCGGTTCAAACCAATTACTCACGGGTTCAAACCATTTTCTTCATTTAGAATTGAGTTGTTTATAGATGTCATAATGATAGTAAGGCATTTATTTAATGCAGTGGATGTAATTTATACGTCGTTAATACTGTTTTTTTCCACAAGGGCGCGCGTATCTTGCTATTCTTCATCGCTTTGACTGGCAATGTTATAACGTTAAATAAAATTAATGCAAACATTTTTTCATAATTTATCTCCTATGTAAAAAATTGTTATTATTTGCACTTTTGGAACAAAAATGGCGGCTGGATGTCCTTGTGACCATATTTACCAAATAACCTTCATCACAATGCAAAATGCAGAGAAAATACGTGTCCCACTCTTACAAATACATTGCTCGGGCGGTTACCACCAAATATACCGCGCATATGAAGTGAAACAACGTAAAGTGAAAAGATTTAACTCAAACACGAACGACTCATGTTATTTAGAAGTGATTTAACGTCGTTTACTGAGTTCAATGGACATGTTAAGAAATGATTCATCTTGTCATGAAATGCTTCGATTAATATTGCAACGATTCAACAACATTTGTTTTCATTTAACTAAACAATATGATATTACTCAACATGTTCTTCACTAGTTTAACAGGTTGTATTCAGATGACTCGTTCAGCATGCAAATGATACATTACGTTTTGAAACGATTTCTTGTCATTCTAAATAATTCATGAGAATATGAAATGATTCGATTTTCTAATAAAAAATTCAATGCAATTGCAAACGACTGAAAGTTGTTAGAAATGATTCGCCGCAATTTGAAACGATCCGCAGCTGTATAGCGAACTGACTCAACATGTTTTTGAATGACTTAATTTATGTGGTCTCAATATGAGCTGTTGGGAAACGATTCAGTAAGATGTGAAATGAATCATTGTGACGTTAAATAATTCGATGCAATGCCAAATGATTTAGCGTAATCTTAAATGATTTAATGTAAGGTGAAGTGGCTCAGTGTGAAGAGAAGCGATTTAGTCTGATGTGAAATTATTCAACGAAATGCCAAGTGATTTAACGCGATACGATGTTTTGCTACACTGATTCTTGAAATTATATTTAATATAAATCCTAAGACGGTTTTTATATGCACATGAAAAACATGTGACTTGGACGAGATTTGAACTCGCACCTTTGGGTACTAGTCCGCCGCTCTACCTGTTGAGCTACCAAGCCCACAGGGATTGGAGACGAGTCAAATCTCTTTAAAACTACGTATGGACGAGAGATTCTCGCCACGATAGCACTTACTGGATGGCACCGTGTTTCGACTTTATTCCAAAGCCATCATCAGTGAAATTAAAAATTTTTGAAATTAAAGCGGAAGTATTTCTGCACGATTTAAAGTTTGGGACAAGAATCCAGCTTTATGTAATGAAACGATCACAGTTTCCGTGGTTTTTCATTTTATTGTTTTTTACTGGTTTGTTAATGGATGGTTTCGCAATAGGAGTTGGAGAATATTTCGGATAAGTTTTCTATAACTTTGACTTGACAAAATAAATTGAAGAGAGTGTAATATGTGTTGTGTAAAGGTCGTTTGAATAAAGCGAATAATTATTCACTCAAAATCAACAAAAAATCTGGATGTAATGATATTTTATGAACCTCATGGAAACGACTATTTTCACTTTATACCACATGTAGCATCATCAGACATCAGTGGGACGGGTGTTTCAAAGTTTGGTAAGTTCTACTATCATTGTAGTAGTACTCTTGGTTTGTACAAGTATGTGCAAATGACGCTGTTTTTCAAAAAAAACGCAGACCTAAGATTTATTAGTTGAATCTTAGTGTTTAACAATACGGATGTTACTGTATGCGATAGTATTTGAACTGAAAAACACAGTTACAAATTCGACAACTACATTAACAACTTGATAAAGTAAATGGTTTGAACCCGGGAGTATCGTTACATGTTTGTAGATGATCATCATTTACAAAAATTAACAACTTGGTTAACTGCATCTGATGTTTTTGGAGGGTGGCTCCCGCCTGCCAATAATATTATATCAATCGTTTACAGTACCAGTCAACTCACCTGTGTCGTCGGTGCATTGTCGTCGGACCAAGCAGAGAGCAAATTACTGTTCGCAAATGAATTGGCCAAAAATCTAAAAGAGGCTGAAGAGGCGAGTCACATCAGCTCCGCTATGATAAGTGGAAATCACAGAACGTACTTTACTGCCAAAAAACCAATGCCTTCTTACAAACAGGGACATTCTTCTAGCAACAAAATTTTTATGGCAAATTTAGCAGAGGAACACGCACAGAGGGGAAAAACCTCAATGGAAAGTGGGACAAATCCTCTCGATTATACTTTACGACCTAAGTTGGATGGGTCACACCGACTAATTCTGAATTTGAAAGCTTTTAACGAGTCAGTGGCCTATCATCATTTTAAGATGGACTTTATTCACAATGTCACTAAGCTAGTTAAAAAAATTGCTTTATGGCATCACTGGACTTAAAAGATACGTACTTCTCTATACAGATAAATGCATCGATTCAAAAATTTTTACGTTTTTCATGGCGTAAAGACATTTATCAATTTACATGCTTTGCACTCAAGTGGACACATTTCGTTAGCACACATTGATGATTGTTATCCTCAGGGGCAAACATTTGAGAAATATGTCCTTAACATTATTGTTACGTTTATAATGTTCGAGAAAATAGGATTTATCATACATCCAACCAAATCCTGTCTATTTTCCTCACAGGATTACCCTAGGGTTTCTTATTAACTCGGTGACAATGACCATAAGGTTAACTATAGAAAAGGCCACTGACTTGAGGAAGGTTTGGAAAGCGTTACTACATGTAAATAAACCACAATCAATAAGAGAGGTTGCCGGAGTAATTGGAAAAATAGTAGCAAGCTTCCCAGTGGTAATGTATGGGCTCTTACACTATAGAGAACTAGAAAACGATAAAATTCGAGCCTTTAAAGATGCAAAAGGAGATTTTGACACTATTATGCAACTATCAGAGGGTGCACGCACAGAAATACAATGGTTGGCCCCTAATGCTGAAAATTGATTTCATAAATTTTCAAGGGAGGAACCCCAACATACAATTTCCACTGCATGACACATGAACCAATTTTAACATTCATGTAATTATATAATTAAAGACATGTTGGTTACATTCTGTTTGTATTTGATAATACAATGCTACTAGTGATGGCTATATAGCACACCTTGAAGAAGATAATAGTCAAGTGAAATGCCTAATAAACATTTATGGCATTAAGCTGTCCTTAACTGCAAATTTTCACTCTGATCTTTGGCAGAAAAAAATTTTAAATTTTTTCTCAAAAGGTGAATTTGCTAATACTGATGTGGAGATGGGTAAAGGGTTACAATAAACTTGCATGGTTTGAAATCTGAGCGTTTCTATATCTATGAACTGTCACTTGTAGTACTAAATTTCTAACTTAACTCATTACATAGAGGTTTGAAGGGGGGTGTCTAGGGGGGTCTATTCCTGACAACTTGGTAGAAATTCTTTAAAAGCTCTATCTGTTTTTGAATATAGTATTATTGTAAAATAACTTTACGTTCCTAGACATGCTAATGAGCCATATATTTGGCATGATAATGAGCCTAACAATTTGGCAAAATATTCAAGTATTGTTCACTATATTTTTTTTGAAAAAAACGTAACCAAAATGTGTTGTTTTTACGCAAAAACGATGCACACAAAATACATTTTGTAATGCTCTAAAACGCTGAAAATGGCATTTTTAAGGCTCTGAAATTCAAATTTTCTCAGGAGAGATAGCCTCAGACGCCCCCAGAAACGGAGCGCGCTTGTGAAGTGAAAGTTGAAATATCGAAAAAAACTTGATTTGTATTGACGACTATCGCTGTTAAAATTTTTAACAATAATAAAACTGAAATACAATCAACAAACAAAAGGAATCCTAGCGCTAATAATACAAAGCAACGCATGACAAGAAATACAGATATTTTTCAGAATGATAGAAGAACTTAAAAAATTTTTTTCAAAATATTGAAGACTTCCTTACCATTTATTGGAATTACGGCAGCAACGCTTAAAACAACGCTGCATAGTTCTCACCCTATTAGTAGTTGTATCCAAACGGAGAAACTGAAGGATATTACGACTAGTAATGAAACCAACAATGTGCAGCAGAGCATTCACCAGCTACAGGGGATTTCAAAAAAGGATTTCATCCAAAGTTCGAATAACTAATTTCTATGCTTTTCAGTCAACTAGATTTTTATCATTGTTATGATCAATTTACCTTTGGAAAGAAAATCTCAACAAGACATATGACTTTCTCTATACAAAAGGAGAACAATTCATATAAAAGAGTTGTGTTTGAAGGACTCATTGGCCCAAATTTTTATAAGTAGAAATGGCTAAAATTATTCCCAGGATTTAAAGAATGCTTATGTAAGCATGCAACTATTAAAACAGGTAAGCACGCACAGGGTATAATGTTAATGGGAAGAAGTTGTAAAACCGAATAATATTGTCAAACTGAACTGACTAGCTACTGTTTAAACTTCAGATGCAGATTGGCATGAATTGCAACAATTCACTTAATTTTGGCAATCTATTAATGGGGTTTATCAAAATCTATTACATGAAAATAATTTGAATTTATTTGGCCAACATGTAGAAGTAAATTTTCAAATGACGAGTCTGCAAATATACTTAGAATTTGATTCTTTTCGATTAAGATACTAGTCATGCTTCCCCCGTACTCCTTCCTTGAAAGCATTTGGCTGCCACATCCCTGAAAACACACAAGCATGTACGCTGCAAATATTTAGAAAAGATATTTCATGCAAGCAATTTGCTGCTATCGTGCTACGTTATGTATAAGCGAAGAAGATTACAAAAAATGTCTGTGTTTTGTTTCAAAATATGAAACTCCTAGAACCAAAACAGAAATATGGATTGTCAAAAATCCAGAACTTATTTGATACAAACCGGGAAGAACACACAGATAGACTAGTTTTACCAGCACTGCCTTGATGTATTAAAGTACGTAAAATATACTTTGTGACCATATTGCATTATAAATTTGCAATATTCTGCTTTTGATGTGAATGCAACGATTCTGTGCTTTGCGATTATTCGTAGTACATCTCTAACAAATTTTAAGACTGGGAACGGGGAAGTTGTTGCATCGTTGATTAAATAATTAATGTGTGGTTGTAATAGAGCGTCACAAAATTTTGGTACCAGTCTTTTCATGCAACAAGAAACATGAGGTGAAAGTGCGAAGAATTTGAATGGGCTCGGTATACTTATAATACTAGCACTGGCTTAGCCAGCCCGCAAATTTAATTTAGTCAGTCCTGCAATCTTTAATTTTTTGCGTTCACTCACTAAAAATTATAGATTTCTTAAGAAATGATTTATGTTAATAATTTAAAATTTAGATAGCAGGACCATAACATGCAAGCTGGCTACGTCACTGATTAGTAGGCAAAAATCTGCTGCTTTAAAAAGTTAGCACAAACTTTGAAACATATTTACTATAATTACTTTTATGTTGCTTCATCAGCTTTTTTGAATCTCAGTTCTCATTAAAAGTTTATGCTAATATTTTTATGCATTTTGAAATTTACACAAAAAGAAGATCTCTGAACATCAGAACCAATGTTAACGGCTATAAGGGCTAATTTCATGAGCTCGGGTAGCTGGAGTTCAGCCCAGAGTTAAAGGATTTAGCAAATTGAAACAATTCAATACTCGTCATCAGATAAATCTTTCCGAGCAATTACACAACAATACAACAACTACACAAAAAATAAAAGTGCCTCTAACACAATTTTTTTATTCGCCCTCTTGAATATACTGTTATTTGGAGTGCTTTAGTAAAAAATTATTTAATTTAGATAAAACGTCTAGTTTTTTCGGCGTGATGAAGTAAGTTTTTCATGGCTTAATGAAGTGACAGTTAGGAGTCTGGATCTAACGTATTTTAACGTCGCTTTGTTCTTTTGAGCTTTCTTCGTTTACATTTGACGTCTTACATTTGACATTACACGACTTTGCCGTGTTTTTGATGAATTTGGTCACTACAAAATGTTTATTTTGCTTTGTAATCATTTTCTGCAGTGAATTAACTTTTATTTTTCACTGACATATATATATTTTGCTGGGTAAGCAAAGAGGAGTTACTAATAAATGACAATAGCAATTGACAACTAACATTCGTAAATATTTAGAGGATTTGTCGTTTGTATGCTGGCGTTAATGCCGATGATAGCTCCGACTCATGCAGTGAAAGCGTAGACAATAGGCTATGGCGATTCAAACACCCGTTTGTATTATCCACTCAAATAGGTCTTCAATATGGGCTTCAGACCAGTCATCATTAAAAACGGAATCGCGTAAAAACTTACTCCATCTTTGAGAGTGGTCTCGTTAGTACAATTAGCTGCAAAAAAACTATAACCATCTTTTTCAACAAAACATTTCAAAATAAGTTGTATGCACATGTCAAATAAATTGTATTGTACAAATGCACGAGTTCTTTTTGTGATGTCACAAAAAAATCCAATTCCATTTCCCTACATGCCTTGGACGTAAGCCAGCTAAAATGGCAAAAATGAGGCAGCTTAATTTAGCAATTTTCAAACTGCAATAAAAATTGAAGTATTGCATAAAATTAAAAATTGTTTTCGCAAGTGCTTTAAAAATTGTGCAAATATTTGGTATTTCTAAAAAACAAATTTGTGTTAGAGGCACTTTAAAATTACAATAACCAATTTGGCAGAAATTATATATTTCAATAGGAATAACTTGTGGCGCTTAACAAGCAGTTGTGAATTTTACACTTAAAGTTTTGGCTCCCTTCAAAGCCTCCAAGTCATTTGACGCCTCACTAAATCAAGGTTAGCCGGGATCATGTAAACAGCTTCTAAGTTGATTCTTTATTGGAATCCGCAACACCAGCCGAACAAAGTGTTTTGTCAGGTGAATTAGCAGGTAATTGTGTAGTGATTGTATCGGCAGATATTCGCTATGACTAAAATGTTGTGAAAATTGAATGTGAAAAAAATAAGGCAAAAATATAATAAAACTGCCAACTTTTTCTTGTCGTAAAAAATGTAGATTAAGAAAAGAAAAAGGCAAATGCACAGTGACTTAAGTGTGTTGCAAACAAGGCCTACTCCTGTAATACAGAGTGCAGGAAATTGTCTCGTATTTATTCTCAAATTATTTGCAGAAACTATATTTGTTTCTGTACGAAATTTTATGAAAATATAAAATAGATTAAAAATACAAGTGCATCAAAATGTTATTCAAACTACATCATCATCTGCACTCTGTAAATTATACAATACCATTTAAGAGTCTATGGGCATCAGGTGTGCAAACAATTGTTATCAATAGCTATCGTCAAATAAAGAATTGTTCCAATTTAGATTGAAATTCTAATCATGTCTGTTTTCCTGAAAATTTAGTTTAAGGGAGGTGAAAAAGTTTGTTTACAGTAACTAGCGAAAACTGGGCGACTTGAAGAAGCATGACCCTTTCTCTTTCCCTTTTTAGATGGCTTGCTCCTTCAACATTCGCTTGTTGTTGCTTGCTCATGAATACATAGCCTTCTCTTATATATTGTTTTTAGCACAAATCCCAAGTGATGCCACTAGTGGATCTTGAATTCTAGACTCCGAATATCGTTTAAGCTAAGCTGATTTCCAGTGCTTTCTAACTGTTTCTGGAATGGCATATTCAAACGCGTAACCCCTACTAAAGTTCGTTATGTTCTAAAGTTCCTTATGTTATGTTCGTTATGGAATAAATTTTCTTGAAATGTGACTGAGAAATGAAACCTCTAATTTATTAAAGAGAGCTTTGTATTTTTTATGCTAACTGAGCGATAAGAGTGCATGAGCGTTAATCTCTTGACCAATGCTGAAAAAAAGGAAACGAATTTATTAACAGAAGCCTCTTTGCTGGAGTCTATTCTGAAGTTGTGTGTTTTCATATCATTTTTGAGCATCTCTATATTTTTGAATGCCGATATCAAAAAATGTAGTACTAAGATCAAGCAAATCTCGACTACAACTTCCAAAAAAACCGGAAGAATTACACGACTCCACGAAAGTCTAGATTTGATGGTATGCCACTTATCAGGCAAAAATTAGTGTAATATAACGTTTGCGAAAAAAACACTGATATATATTAATGTCATTATTTCTTAATGTCATTAAGAAAAGAACATCTAATCAATATAACACATATCTTATTAGAAGGGGAAACTACTTTAAAAGGCAAAAAATCTATATGCTCAATCCCGGTCTGAACAAGGCAATTGAATTCCAGACTGTATTGTTTCTTCAAGGACTTGAATATATAGAGTACTGAGCACAGCAAGGTCGGCTAAATCGTCAATACTTCAACAAGTACATGGCTTAAGTTTGGAGAACACCCGCTGGTCTCACGGTTTCTGAAGGGAGTATTTGAACTATGACCAGCATTACCTCGTTATCGAGAAATTTAGGACGTAAGAACCGTAATAAATAAATTATAAACATATCACGAAACTTCAGTAATTTAAAAGACCAAACACTTACATTAGTAGTGTTGCTTTGATTGTTATAAGCACAACGTTGAATTAATATAAATAATACATACCCATTAGCGAAAATTGTGCGTATTGACACATTTGAATAAATCTGCACACTCAACTATTAATAAGTTATGTAAAACCATTTAGATCTGGTTTCTCTAACGTAAACGGCAAAGCCGTCATCACGCCTAGACGAAAATTTGAGTTCTTATGATTTTCAATTTTTCGCAGCCAAAATAATTTGCTGGCCAATCAGACTTTATAGTGGTTTTTGATTTTTGCATGCACGTTTGTCTGCCGTACTCAGTTTTTAAAATGGTGGACGTTAAAACAGCCATTGTTTTGTTTGCTTTGTCGTTCTGGTCGTCTTTGCAGCAATGAGAATTATAATACGTTATTCGGAAGTTGTAATCTAGTTTCTGTTTGATTCAGCCATTTTGCATTGATTTTTTTGCATTTTGTGAGTTAATTTTTACACATAAAAACAAATATACCCAGTCGCACGAAATTTTTTAACTCGAAAATTATTGCTTTTCGTGCAAAAATTTGCAAGTGGAAAACCGGCTTAATTAGTACGAAAAAAGCGTATAAGTATAGAGCAAATGGTCTACAACTAAGGTTAGAGAACATTAACGGTTCCGTTTGTACAATTAGTTCTTTATTTGTTGCTGTCTTGCGTTATGTGAGCTGTATTGAAATTTTAATACACGACCTGTTCATTAAATAAACGAGTTAAACAACATTCCGTTCATTTTTCCTACCCTTCTGATATAATTAACATCATTGATGTGATTTAAGGCTGGTCTAAAATCTTACAGAAAAGCATTTATTGGATGAGCTTTATTATTTTGAGAGATGTTAATTGGAGCTAAGCTGAGCTAAACTGAAGTCAAATGCATAATATTAATTTACATGAAAGTACATCATATAGAGCTTTTGTGACGGATTCTTCTTCATTCATTTGTTTCAAATATAAAAAGAATCACATAGGATGTAAAAAGTAAGAGCAAAATGCTAAATCCTTTTCCTCCAGGAATAATATACATGAAAAAATTCTTAATTGTGATTGGTTAAGAGCATGGCAGTATTTAAAAAACTCACTTGCGCATTGTTATGCCTAATTACACTCCATGTTATTACATAAAAAATAACAAATTCTTTCATATTTAACCCAATGCTGTAGCCTGAGGCACAGTTACGTAGGATTGATTATTGTGCCAAAGCAGAGT